TTCGTATAAAATGAGATTAACATAGTGAAGTCATACATTTTTTGGAATTAAATTATTAATTACGTCCTCTTGGAAGTAAGTATTGTGGAACTGTTAAAAGATGAGCGAATCAGTCACTGCCAATGATCATTATCAATATGAATTCCCCCCTTCTTTCTGAGAAAGTAACAACATATTTACCTACTAACAAATTCTATCTATGATACTTCGTAGAACTTCTAATTTAATGAAACCATTTACATTCATAGTACGGTACAACGATTTCTCTTTTATCATGAACTTGATAGCCACAAATTCATTAACGAATGCCAGTTTTCCAGTTTGTTTTTATAGGTCAAGTTCAACTATAAAGATCTGTTGTCCATAGCGGTCGTTGGTTGTTGGAATAAGAAATGTCTGCTGACCATGACTTGTAGTGCGTTCAAATATGGGTGTTTAAGCTTTGAATTCGGGTGGTCAAAATATAAAGAAAAAAGGTTCTACACAGAAACGCTTTGTTTCTAGATATAGAGTGTTGAAATTTAAGACAAAATATTTCAGAATTGGAAAATGGAAATTCGTTCGCTGATCGTTACTGCTAACGGCACTGCTAATAAAAAAATTTGTACCTATTTACTTTTGATGTTACTTTTTTAACTTATATTACAGCAGTCATTTTATATGTATATTTTTTTTCCTAGAAATTTTCCAGACTTATCCAGATATTAAGTATATTGAACTTATTATAAATCTGAAACACCCCTGAAGAAAAGCTTTGAATTACTATACAGGATGTCACAAAATAATAGCAAATTTCGAGGGCTGGTTAATAATTGTTAAAATAATAGAAAAGTATCCTATGAAAATTCTTCTAAAATGCCTTATGTGAGAAAGATGATAAATCTTACGGAAAATGCAATGTGGATGAAATTAATACATATATAATATATGATTCGAGTACCTACTTTAGGCGAGGGTAAATTGTGTTTTCTATTGTAACTTGTTTCTTATCAACTTATATATTAGCAAAGTTTGAACAATTTCAAACAAAAAAAGTTTATCTTGTATCAAATTGGTATCAAAGTAGATATCATCAATGAATAGACACTGCTACTCAATTCAGGTAGGTAGGTACTATGAAAACAAGACCTGTATCGCCACTAGGCCAAACTGTTTTTAACTGAATATAGAGGGTGTCCCACCACGAACTCCATCGATGGATATCTGGGAAACCGGTTGAATGATTTTTTTGAAATTGTGATGGTGTGATAAGGACCGTGGGACCTACCAATCTACCACTAAAATTAAGTGTAACTTTGTTAAAGTTTCCCTATACCTAAACCCAGTGGTTTTTATTTTATTTACGAATAAACATTTCCCTCTTCTTAAAATGATGTTTCCATTTGTTTCGCACATTTTATGTTGGCCGTGACAGGTAAGTAACAATCAACATGACAACCGACACAGGTTTTTAATAGCCCAATTTATTTTATAGTCCAGGCGGTATCTGTTTTAAAAAGGGTATATCTACTTGGGTAAAACGCATATGATCGGAGATTTTTGCTTTAACGGCTTCTAAATATCAGAAATGATAATTTTTCTATGCAAATAAAAAAAAAACGTGGGCTTAATTGTTATTGCAAAAACAGTATAAAAAAATAGAAAAATTCATTTTTTTCTTGGATTTCTCGTCGACAACTTGGTAACTATTCATTTTAGACAAAAATGGAAGAGGAAAAAGAGTTTTGTAAAATTAAATTTTGAACAAGATAAGTTAGTTGCAATTCGACAAAATAATTATTATTGCAAAAATCGGAAAAATCATTTAAAAAATTGCAAAAAATGCTAGTTTATTTATCAATTTTTTATAATACCTAGGATCTCCATACTTTTCCCAATTAAACTTTTTAGTGCATAGAATCATCACACTAAATTTCATCCAATTCAGTTCCATAGTTTTTACATAATAATTGTTTAATTTTTTTTAAATTAAAAAATTTTCAAAATCAATTTTCTAAAAATCTAAAGCATTCGAATACTTGAAAATTTCACCACAAAAAGAAGAGCTCTCGAGCTTTGAAATGCTTTTTGAAAAATTCAAATCGGAGGATTAGGTAAGCCGTGGTGATTGTTTAAACATTTTCGCAATTATAACGCTTATAAACAATAGCAATAATTTAATGTTTTTTTCAATTTTTTTTTAATTTTAAAATATGGTTTGAAAGTACTCAGAAAGACGAGTATTTAAAAAAAAAACTGATAATCCGCCCATTATTTTCGGAGTTATAGCCCGTTAAAGTTAACCCTTATTTACAGCAAAACTATAAGGATATAAGGGCTGTTTTTTGAACTACCTAATAGGTTTGTCATTCCGAGTACTTTCCAGATATAAATTTACTTACTGTCGATTGGCCTTGGTACACTCACACCGTATGCCAAATTATTTTTTCTCAGTTCAAGTATAACTAGATATTGATTTTTTTCGGAATTTGAAACCTCATTTTCAAGGTCTATAACTTCTCAGGGATGTAGCTTAGTACAAAGGTAAGTTGCGTTAACCATTTTTTGGGTTCCCCTACATGCCCCTGTTCTGGTGTCAGTTCTTATGCGGAATACTCTGTATATTTAAATAAAATTTATTGACATCTAGAAGAATACTAGAGGGACTCAACGATGGCTGATAGATGATATACAAATTACCGAATGCAAAAAATGCAAATGCAAATTTAACTTTATATTAATGTGTTTTTAATTTAGCATTCCAGATACCCTAGAAAATTTTCTGTCAGTTCTTCTGTTCCCATTTTATAAAACATCATTTCTACAAACATTAAAATAGGTACTGATGTAATATTGATATACTTTGTATAACATCTATTAAGATCCTACGTAAATATTTTATTGTAAATTCCGGCAATAAAATATGCTGCTTGATAAAATACATCTATTTCACCTCGTAAGTGATAAAAGATACTGATAAAATTCAATCAGATTCATTTTGCCTTATACACAAATGTACAAAAATTGTAAAATCATGCAATATTGGAGATCGTTTTTCTGTTTTAATGATGCAATTTCATATTCCAGTTTCAACTTTTTTAGGCACTTAAACAAAAAGCTATGAGGACATGAATTATCTAACAGTCAATTTTCAAATTGGATTATTTACTGATGGCCCTATTACAGGACTGTAAATATTTATTGAATTCTTATTAGAAACTAAATCGTCTAGTATTCTATTATCTGTTGTATTTGTGTACGATATTTTGTGAAGATATATCTTAAATATTAAGTTTTTTTTATAGGTCGCATATAAATGGGGCATACCATAATTTACTTTACCATAATTTTGTATTCATAGTTTCTATTGGAGTAGGTACACTGTTTTTATGATTATTAACATTAATTTCTTGCAGTTACTGATTTTATAAATTGCTCTTCGCACAGTTATTTCAAATAAACTGTACTACTATAAATAGTTATGATAAATGTACTCAACAGCTCAATTGATAAATAAATTATGATGACTCATTGTCACTTATGGAGTCTAACTATTGGAATAAAAAATATTCTTAGTGATATCCGAAATTTTATATAATATAGAATAGTTTCAAACAAAATTAATAAATAAAAGCTATTTATTCATGAATTCGGAATTAAAAAAGTATATTCAAAAAATGGCAACGTCGCACAGTGGGAAATATTGGAAAAAATTCTCGCCACTCGCCAATTTTCATCGTCTCGTCGTGATTTTTTTTTAATAATCTCGTTGTAATCTGAATTTTCATATTCCGGTGAGGTTTTTTCGAAAAACTTTTTTTTAATGGTTAGGGAGCGCCCCTTATTATGACCCTTGATGATATATCTGATGTTTTTTCTGCAAAAACCTAACTCCAAATATATCATCAAGGGTCATAATAATCAATTTTTATTAATAGCATATACCTTTTAAACATTTTTTTCTACAACTGAACATCGAGTATTTAAAAATTTTTTCTTCGACGTTAAGGTTAGGGCGCTCCCTAAGCATTAAAAAATAAAAAAAGGGTTTTTCGAAAAAACCTCACCGGAATATGAAAATTCAGATTACCACGAGATTATTAAAAAAAAATCACGACGAGACGATGAAAATTGGGGACTGGCGAAAATTTTTTCCAATATTTCCCACTGTGCGTCGTAGTTAAGATCATGAGCGCCCTGGGGAAGAATTTAATTTTGCACCCCCAAAAATTTTGTGTAAATCCTTCAGAATAAAAAATATGATTTGCTTCTTTATTTTTATTTATTATATTCTGATTATTTCTGGTTCTGAGTATACCATTAATATTTTTTGCGTTTATAAAAAATTTATTTTTTAAAAGTAGGTACTTACCTATAAGTTGAAATTAAACAATAGTTTATTTAAAATTATACAATTACACAAATATATAATAATATTTTCCATATTTGTGTACCTGCATCCAGTGGTTTATGCAGACCCCAAAAGGGGGAGCTGCCCAACACGATGAGTGATAAAATTTTAGGTAAAAAGGCATATATTGGCAAGGCATTATACTAGACATTTGAACCCTCTCTGACATCCTCTTGCACGCCACTGGTGTACATCAACACCTGACCTGATGTTACATACATCCAGATAATCTCTATTTTATCATTATTTCAGATTATTTGAATCAGTTGACATAGACATGAATTTGTAATGTTTTTCTTTTTATTAAACATCCGATTTAATTCATCTCATATAAAATTGCATATCCCCATCCCATGAGACATAAAAAGTACCTTGATAAAATCGTTCTAAACTTATTAATCAGGTTTTAAAACTAACTGTAAGTTCCATTTTTATTGTCAACTTTTAAATAAATTAAGTAATCAAAAATTTAATAAATGCAGGCTCAATATTAATATTTTAATAAAATTGATCAGTTTTATAATATCATACCTAACGGGAGTATACCTAGCAAAAAATATATATTTTATTTAGTGAATAAAATTCCAGGAAGTACTTTCTATAACTTTAATATACATAAATAACTAAAACCAAAAACAAAATGTGACAGTCTAAAAATAAATAAATTACATACTTAAACTTAATATATATTTGGTTTAGAGAAACTAATACCCCAGACATTATTACTTGTGCCAAAATTTAAAATGAGTAGGCTATTTATTACAATTAAATTATTAGTAAAATCCATAATTTGTACAACAACAATGTATTAAATAATTAATACGACAGGGTTAAAAATCTATAATATAATTTTTAAAGCTCTTTTTTGCAATGTAAATATTTACCTCTAGGCAACCTTACCCTCAAAGTTGAACCCTAACTGTAATATTACAGTCACCCTGTATGGTACAGTCAATTGACTTTTATTTTACAAAACATAATTATTGTCCATGAATGTTTCTCTCATTTTTTTTCCATTTATATTGCACATTAAAGCTTGTCCTGCTTACCACATAAATAACTCATTAACATATATTTTACATCAGTACTTACACACTAAGCGACAATTATTTAAAATTAGCCACGATTTCAATTAAACATCAATCACTGTTAAACAATTCATTATTTTCAAATAATGCTACCAAACATATAATATTACAAATATTAACGAAAAATACATATTTTTGTTATAACGAACTAATAAAATGATTTTAAAAATCCATAAAATATTAAATAAAGATAATACATAATATTCACTGGAGTAGGTACTCGTAAAAAAGACATATTTTTCGAGACAAACATTCATCAGTTTTTGTAACTTGTACCAAAACACTATGCTACAAATTTAATTACCCATTAGAATTTAGGTAAACTACTGATTCTCCTATAGGCACTTTAAAATTTTGAGCTTGAAAATATTGGTTTCAAACTAAAACGTGATCCCTCTAAAATAAAAAGATAAAAACTAGAAAAAGAGGTACACTAAAATTGTTGGTATCCCAATATTAAACATGGCCATTTGTTAGTACAGGTATTCTATCATAAAATCTCCTATGCTGCTCATCAATTTTTGTTAAATAATAAGTACCCGGGAAAAAATTTTCTATACTACCATTAGGTTCATAAGGTGCACTATGACAAGTTTTTTGTCGGAGTTCCAGTGTAGACTCAAATTTCTGCGGTTCAATTTTCTGTCTTTGTTCCAAAAGAGGTTTAATATAACTTAAATTTGACACTAGTTTTTGTAATGGAGATGAAGGACCACAATTGTGTGTTACCGTAATTGAAAAAAATGATGCAGCTAGACCAGAGCCATATGAAAACATTGCAATTTTTTTACCAGCTAATTCTGAAACTTTTTTGTTTATCAGGAGAGACACCAGTCCTCCATATAACGAAGGTGTATACATATTACCTACTTGACTAGCAATAAGCAGTGAAGGGCTAGTTTTCTTATCAAAAATTTCCTTAGAATAATTTAAAAATGCTTTTTCAACATCACGATCAAAATAGCTGTCTTCCAATTTTATATTATTAAATTTAATTAGTTCAGAAAATTTTTGTGTTCTCTGTTCTTTAGTTGTTCGTACATAATCATTTAAAACTAATCGTGCCAGTGACTTTTGTACGAGCTTGCCATATGGAGAATGAAATATAACTGCATCAAAACTACTTATATCTACTTCAGAATTTAACTTTTTAGAAACATTCTTACAATACTGTTGATAACATTGATCTAAAGCATTTAAGTAACACTGAATTGATAATTTACCATCGACTACTGGATATTCAGATGTTAAGTCAGGTTTGTAAAAATCATAAGTATGCCTGACATATGTGGCACGAATGCCTCTATCAAAAATAAGTGGAGCATTAGGCCCTACTAACATTGCAATGGCTCCCACACCACCTGTTGGTCTAGCAGCACCTTTTGCATATACGGCTATGTCCCCAGCTACCGCCAAAGCAAAGCGTCCGTTCCAAGCTGATGATTCCACCCATGCAATGGAATTAAACAATGCTGCAGTTCCACCATAACAAGCATTTGTGGTATCGATACCTTCAATATCAGTTACACCATAGGGTTCAAAAAGTTGCATCAATACAGTTTTAACACTTTTTGACTTGTCAATGATTGTCTCGGTACCTACTTCCAAGCGTCCAATTTCACTTGGTTTTATGTTATGTCTTTCTAGCAATTTTTGAACCACTGTAAGACAGAGGGAATTAATATCCTCTCTATCTGAACAAAAACCCATTTTCTGTTGTCCAAGTCCAATTGTATATTTTCCTGCTGATACCCCATCAAATTGTTCCAATTCCGTTTGATCCACATATTGTGATGGAAAAACTATCTCCAAAGCTAATATTCCAACATCCTCAGGCCAAGAACTCATGGTGGTTTACTGGATTTCTTTCACTTTTTATTTTATTTACACGATACCTGCTGCGGACTGCAACTGACTAATGTCGCTCGCTAGTGTCTTCTCGAATACTATTAAATAATTTTTTATTCCACCACTTATGAAACATTCCAATAATAGTTTAGACCCTACCCATTCTCCAATTTAACCTCAATCTAAACCGGCTAATTGTCATACGCAAGAAGACAAGCCGAACATAACGACAACGACATAACGAAACGACGACCGACGACGCGGACGACGTGACGTGACCGCAACGGAAAATCCTTTTGGGTATATCAATGGAGGGGAACATCGGCCATAGGCGTGTGCAAAATAGTATTCGCTATGAAGAAAATTAGTCTTTAATTACATAAAGTTCCTAGATATTGATTCAATCAAAATTCCTATTGTCAAAGTTAAAATAAAATTTAAAATTTTTTATATATGCTTAAGCATTTCTTGAACAGTTCACTACACAATATCTCTATATTTACATGTATAAACACAATTAAGTAACAATAACAAAATTAAATTTTAATAGTTTTTTATATATAAGTAGCACAAATTGATATATCTATTATATCAAACCGCCATTTTAGGACAAACATTGACTGAGGTACTTAAATCTAGTAACATTATACTTAATAAATGTTGTGACAAACAACTACTGTGTGTGCGGGCTACATGCCCCATTGAATTATAATCACATAATCTAATAATGGCTCAAATCATTCGCCATGCAGTAGAATCACCAGGTATGGACCGACTTCTATCTTATTAGTTCTCACTGTACCTTAGTATCATTTATCTAGGCTGTACCTATACCACGGGTTAGACGATCGACAAAGAATTTGACTATGCGTAATGGACCAAATCCCAAATCTGCCGTCAAATAACTTAATGAATTTATTCATCCAGTTCTTAACTAATTAGAACATGTTCTAATTTTCGTCATTTTCTTCGTGTAACTCAGAAGTACCAACCCAACAAATTTCCAGCCTCAGATCAGTAATGAGGTTATATTATTGGAACATGTAATAATTGTGTGTCATCGTACTAGTCTTGTATTGTTTTTACTGATTTGTTACTTACAAAAAGCTAATATTTATATAATATGTGTCAAAACGGTAACCGCTGCTGTACCACTACAATTATGATGAGTGGAAAGGTGACATTTTTGAAATTTATTTGCTTCTTTGATTTGTTGGCAGAACTGATTCATGTGTCAAAGAAATTCACGAAACCTCTAGCAGTGTAAAACCAAGCCGTTTACAAATAAATTCGTGAATTAATTCATAAAGAGCTTCGTGAATTTATTCATGAATAAAACAGCTATTACTTTCTAGGATATATCTCTTTTACAGTCATATCACTATTTCAAAATATAATAAAATATATAATGCCACGAAATTAATAGTATTAATTTAGAAAATAATAACTTTTCTTAGATTTTATTATAAATGTATTTATATGTTTATTATCAATAATAATAAGCGTCACAAAGTTAAAGAGTTGATAATAACTGTTTGTAAACACAACGATAAGAATTACAGCTTTATCTGACATATCTTGCATATTCCTGCCATCTAGAAGACGTGGTTCAGAACTGAAGACGATTGTCTAATACCTACTACGGTTCAGAAACAGTCTTGGGTCTGGTAAGGATTATTTGTATTTTTTTTTGTTACGCCAATGTCTTTAAGGTTATACACAAAAACAAAATGTCATCATTTGTCAATATTGCAAAACTTTTTATTTCTAAAAGATTGTGAGCATTCAAAACGTTAACTAAGGGCACTATATATTAAGTTTGAGGCTGGATTCTCAAGAATTTGGTAGTTGAAATTTTTTATGTAGAAAATGGCTAAGGAAAATGAAAATGGGACCAAATTATCTGAAAATAGTTGTGAAGAATCTGCTAGCAAAGGAACAGAATTGATAGACAATGTGAATTATGAGTTAACTCCTACTTTAAAAGAAAAGTTAAAAGATATACCGGAAGCCATGGAATATATAGAAAAATTACATAACATCATAAAGAGACAAGTCAAGAAAATATATAAATGGAAGACTAGAATAAAGGTATGTACTTATTTCATTCTTTCATTATTAATCCTGTGGTCTTTCACAAATATTTCATGCTTTTAGAGAATTCAAAAACGTAAAGATATATGTACACAAACTGATGACGCTCCAAGTTTTAATAATAGAGAAACAAATGTCGATGCAAAAGAGGAAATTAAGACTTTAGCAGATGATATTAAGGAGGCTGCAGAAATAGCTGTACAAAATTCAGGTTTTGTATATGAAGAAACGTCCGGATTGTATTATGATTATAATACAGGATATTATTACAATGCGGTAAATTTATTATATATTTTTGTAATACATTAATTTTAATATCTAGAGTATTGTTGTAAAATGCTAAAGAATTTTTTTTTTTTTGAGGATTTTCATCAAATATAAGTGACAGTAAATGATTATAAATTAAGGAATAAAATTTAAATTATATATCTTCTTAAGTGCTCAATATGTTTCAGTATTTACAAAAGCACTAATAAAAACATTATTTATGCAAAGGCTACATGCCACTCGGGTAATGCAAAATTTGAAAAAATTAAGAAAACTTTTCCTTTTGCATTATGACAAAGTGATTTGTTCATGCCCAAACATTGACAAATATCCTCAAATGTATATTAAGAACATGTTCACCTTTGCAACATTAATCTAGAGCAGTGGTCTTCAAACTTTTATGACTTGCGGAACCTAGCCAACATTTCGATTTTTTTGAGGAACCCCCACATCTAAAAAAAAATTTCAAACACATTTTTTACTGATTATACAGGGTGTCCCACCGGGAACTGCGTCAATCGATACCTAGGAAAATACTGCGAAAAATTTGAAAATTTGGCAACATGGCAATGTCCCTGAGGCGAGCATAATTAAAATATCGACGCCAAATTCGTTATTACTTTTAGAGATATTTGCAATTTTCTATTTTTTGGACACTTTCTCATATCAAATTGTTTGTTGTCTGTTGTCAAATTGGCCATGACCATAAACACTCCAAAACAATTCAAATAATTTGACATTTGTCAAGTTAGCTGTCAAATTATTGTTGTGTCTGTAATAGTTTTTGCTAAAAATTTAAATAAGAATGTCTGGGAATCGTTTAAATTATACTAATGAGGATTATTTTAATTTGTTTATTATTTATGGAAAAGGGCAGCAGATTCTCTAAATGTTCTTGAAATTACTTTGTTACAATTGTTATTATAAGACATATAAAACATATTTCTATCAAGCGCGCTCGCTATGGGACCTATAGCGTAGAGGGTTATATGCACGGAAAATGCCAGATAGTACAACTGCGTGATGTTATTTTCATAACGCAACACTCCAGCGTTGCGCTTAAGGTCCCATAACGGCTCGCACTTGTGATAGAAAATAGTATGTGCAATTCGTTCGGAAAAGTTGACATAGCGCTATTGGCAACTTTTCCTCACTCGTTACACAATGTACTATTTTCTTGGTATATGTGGTTTACTTACAAAACATTTAATACATTTTCAGTAAGGGCTTTCAGGTTTATTCTTATTCTTTTATTCTTTTATTCTTTAGTTCTTTAGTTTTATAAAATGCTTTCTCCAAAAAAAAAAAAAATGAAAATGATTTATTTATCTAAAAATATATTTTCGTGCATTTTATGACACCAGTGGTACCTACTAAATATTTTTTAGGAATATGGCCTGTATTACGATGGCACTACAGGAACTTATTTAAAGTATAACCAGGAGACCCAGTCCTATGAGTATCACTCCCAAGTTCAAATATCTCAATCCTCAATTCGAAGAGAAAAAGAAAATGAGGATGTTGTAGGGAAACGAAAAAGTAAAAGTGGGCACAAAACGAAAGTAATCATCAGTGTTGAATTTTACTTTGAGCTTTTTATAATAGACAATTACAGTTTTATGTCATTTACATTTTATTAATGTAGCTTTTAATAATACAGTAATTATTGTAAGGCATGACTAATCAAATTGATAGAAACAGTTACAACAGATATTTGAGTAGGTATTTTGTTTTAATTTTTTTTTATCAGCTGCAGGCGAGATATTTTGACTAGCTTTATTTAGAATGAGGTATTTTTTGTCATTATTTTCATTATTAAAAATCAAATGTGCCTTAAAAACTTGGAAAAACATTTATATTTTGGGTACTGTGTCAACCCTTTTGATTCAAGTGGAAAATTCCTTCATTTTTACAGTACCTTGTGTAGAACACTCTAAAATTCCCATTTTTAAGCAATCACTACCCGGTACTGACTACGATTTTATTGCTATTTCTCTAAATTACTCAGCTGATTTAGCTGGTAACATCATAACATAATGTAACTGAAAAGATATGGGTAGAATGTTTTTAATTGAGAATTATAGTCGAGTTGTATTAGTTTTATGTTTTTTTTAAGCCTATTGGGTGTATTTGTTTTATTTAATTACTCTTCCATTATTATTATATTATTTTTGTTTGAAATAGGTATATGTTTCTTAGATCATTTATTTTTGTTTTCTTTACACAGTATAATCTTGTTTTACAAAGTATTTAATATTTATTTATTTAAATAATTTTTTAATCGTCCAAAAATAGTTTTTGATAAATCGAATTTTTAACTTTTTTTACACTAGTTACACTACCAGTGTAACTCGTTTTTTAGTCTCTAAATTTAGTAACCCTAAGTACCTACAGTGCATTTTCTGTAAGCAACTGATTTTTTTTTGTTTAAATGGTGATACATGACTAAATTAGAATTAAAATGTTTTAAGCCAAACAAAAAATTTCGCCTGCATGGAATATTTTATATTTCTAAACATTTATTCATTATTATTATAAAGGGTTGTCTGGAAGATATGAGTAAAATAGTTTAGGTGAGTAGAAACTTATGAAAATAATGGTACAAGTTTCTAAAGGTCGGTTCTTTCCAACGTTGGATCTAGGATTTTTATGAGGAGGGGGCGCAATGTAAAAATAGTTAGTAATAATATAATAATCACAATAATAATAGAAAGAATATTGACATAGCGTCTTTACTTAGACAGATAGGTACTTGATTATAAAATTAAAAATATTAATTATTAGTAATAAAAAATATTGCCTTGCAACTCTTCAAAGTAAATTTTTAATATCGTTATTAGATAATAAGGAAATTCATAATTATAGCTGTCATATAACAAATTGCCTTTATAAAAAGTTTATAAAAATACAATTTTAAACTAATACAGAAAAGAAATATTTCACAAGAAAAATCTAAATATAAAAGATTAATTTTATAGAAGAAAATCAGTTACCCTTGTTTTGGTTTTTGCAGAACGATTTATAACGTCATCTATATTTATGTTGATGTCTCGATGAATATAAAGAAGTGCAAGGCCTGTTAAACGATCTTCAGTAATTCTTGATCTCATCCATGACTTAAGAATTCATAATGTTGAAAAACTACGCTCTGCTGTTGCAACAGAAATCAGAAGTGTTGAAAGTGGCTTCAATGAAGACTTCATGATAGGATAATATTTTTCATTGCAATGATCATATGCTATTATGATTTGAATAATTTTTTTAAATTCGTCATAACTATGACTACTCTTGATAAAATATCATTGAAAAGTTTCATTTTCATTGATTCTTTTCCAATGAACGAAATTTCAGTTTAAAGTTTTGATTTGTAACCGATTTTTAAAGAAGTCGAATTACCAATATATGCATAACTATTTAACACAAAATAAAATGGGTGCTTTAAACGTTTATATGAACTTGGCAATTTAAAAATTTTTTAAATCATTTATGCTTTTACAGCATTGAACTCGCTTTTCCCAACCTATCTAGAGTTTAACCTGCCTGTCTGTAATTTCACGAGTATTGTACTCGCTTCCCCCACTAATCTGGGGTTTAATTCGCCTGTTTATGTTTCCTTAAATATTCAACTTGCTTTTACTTCAGCTTGTGGGGTTTAAATCGTGTAACTGCGGTGTAACATTTTGTTTGCAAGAAAAACTATGAACATAATTTAGAAAATTTTGTTTAGAAATTTTCAGGGAGGGGCGCGCGCCCTCCGGCTAAATCCGCCACTGGTTCTTTCTAGAGGTTGCTAGTTACTGGATCCGTTATGTAATTAGCTTCAATAGAATTTGAGTAAAACACATTAAATATTTTTGTTAAGAGGAGTAGGCAACCTGCTAGGGAAATCAGTGAATAAACCTAGTGAAGAATGAATACACTGTATTTTGCATCAGCTATTGATGTGCGGTCTATCAGTAAGGTTTTTAGTTAACAAATTTCGAACTTTCGGAGCAATCATTTACTGCTACTTTCCCAGTTTCTTTATAGCAAGGCCGCCAATCCCTCCACAAAACTTTTAGTGCGTTTTACTGAAATTCTACTGAGCTAATTACGGAATACACACACTATTTCTCCCAATAACATTTTATGACAACTTTTTTGAGGTTAACTTTTTTAACAGTATATCTTGCCTTAACTTAAAATGTGAAATTTCACTGTATACAAAAATGCTATTCTTATTCCATTCATTAAAAACACATTGTTTTTGACAAAAACACACTGTTTTTGACAAAATCACACTGTTTTTGACAAAAACACACTGTTTTTGACAAAAACAGACTTTAATATAATAAAAACTCCAATTGACTGTCCTAAAGTCAATACGCTTTTATTCCTTAATATTAAAATTAGGATTAAAAAAGAGGATTAAAAGTTTTCTTAGATAAAATTAAACCAATTTAGATTGAATTACCTTAATACAGCCCTTAAAAAGTTACAGGTTTTTAAGGAAAATGATTTCGTCAGAAAACATTTTTAAGCAACAATGATGATCAGTGACTTGATCTTTGCAGAATCCGCAGCATCAGCAAAATCAGCAGTATCAGCAAATAACTGAAACCGTCACTGTTTCTAATTCTGTAACATTGCCTTATATCCATTCTTCTTAGTTACGAAAAGGCTGATGATGCCATTTCCATATTTGGTCACGTCTTTTTTATTGGTCAAGCCATCGATTGTTTGAGGTTTGGGTACGCATTGGGGGTACCCCCCGATGAACAGAACAAAGCCGGGAACCCATGAGCGACACAAAAATGAATCAGTAGTATATAAGTAGCCTTTTGTTATATGTTGCGCAGGTGAGCAGTGGCGGACCATTGGTTCCTTGTTCTGTAATATTTGGATAATTGTGCATTAGATAGATATATAGATAGATAGATAGATCTTTGACTCCCTGGACTTCAAAAACAAAAGATGATAGGCCCATGATCCATAGGAAAAAATCATCTTATTTTTTATATTCTATCACATCTTAAATGTTTTGCACTCATTTTCACAACACCTTTATAATTCAGTTAATATTATTTTTTTTAAATTGTCATAAATTTGTACCATTATTTTTATGAGTAGAATTAATCCTTAAATTTTTTGCTCTTATTCTAAATGCTCTATATTTTTAGAAGCAAGTTTTAGATGTTTATATTTAAATTATTTGTTATCCATTTACTGACATATAAACTGATTTTTTTTTTATTTTAAGATTAAAAAATTAACCTTGTGTGTAACCATTATTTATTTTTTGCAGGTAAAGAACTCTTCTGATATGGAGGGCCTAATGCATTCCTTCAATAAAATGCATATAAATAATCTACGAAAATTAGCTACTGGTACGTATAAATGAGTAACACAGTATTGTTTCTAGGACACCCCTAAACGACAACGCGGCGCTGAAGATTCTCGTCCCCAAATAGACATTGAAGAAGGCGAATGTTCGGAAAGCAGCGATAACTACACTGATGAAGACAATAAATCTGATAGTAGTGGTACATATACATTTTTAGTAAATTTAACGTTTCCGATTGCAATATACTTTTCTCCTGACTAGCTTTGCCATTCATTTTAATGATATAAGAAAAACTGTCAATAAAAAAAATCTTTAAATTTTAAACATTATTTTCTAGTATGATTACTCTACAATTTTAATTGATCTAGAAGGCTGTTAACTATAATTATATCAAATGTAGTGTTCAGGTTTGATCTTGAACGCCCTTCTCAAATTTTAACGCTTTGTATGATTTCAATTATTTTTTATATGTACAGGGCATTAATATAATTAAGAATGAAGTGTCACATAGGACTGATTATTCATGAAATCATAAATGAGAGATTTTTCTAAAATCTGCTAATATGGTAAAACCCCCTTATCTCCAATTTATAACCCTCTCTAATTATTTCATAAATCCTAAAATTTTCAAAAGTATATATTTTTTGTTTCTGTTGTACTTAAAAATGTATAGTGGTAACTAAAAAATCAAAAAAAAAATATCGCAGGCATATTCTAAAATTTCTTTCAATTCCACTGATAACTGGTAATATTTAAATATTCAACAGATATAAAATCAATTTTATTTTACTGTACTACTTTTAAGTACTTCAAAACTTCAAGTACATTCAAGAACAGTACATTTTATACATTGAATGAATTTTTTTCTAATTAATGTATGTTGAAATTGCAACTATTGTTTAGTATGTAGTAAGTAGGTTAAGGTATCTTGCTGTATGACTATTCCTATACAATGTCTTTTGTCTTTGAGGAAAATAAAGCTTATTATTATTATTATTACAA